TCATACACCCAACCACAAAAACCAGACAGGGTAAAAAACCACCCCCCTTTTAATAAAGTTGCCAAGGTTGAGGAACCCTGCTTAAAATGACCAAAATTGAGCTTTGGCAAAAAATGGGGTATTGATTCAATATCTTGTTCCTTAGGATCTGGGTCTTAACCGACTTTAAGCACACCTCCCCCGCCCTTTGTGTGTGTGTGTGCGCACGCGTGCTTAAGTAAAAAAATTCAGGCAACAGCGAAACAGTTCATCTAAACTGCATTCCTACACTACTTGAGAGTTCCTTACCGATATGACTACTGTAAGATTTACTTCTGAATAGGCATTAATAGGATTGACCTGTGGCTCTGAAGCCAATTGTCCATACACGTGTGTGGGCGTCCCTGTTGGGTGATTTAATAAAAGAGAGCTTCCATTTAAGGAGAAAGAGTAGGGAACTATGGGCAGTCTTCAATCAAGTGAGGAAATGTCCTTTGTTTTAAAGCTGATGGGTTTCCATCAGAAAGCTTAACACTGGCTTGTGGCTGCAAAGGGCAAACCTAGATTGGCCAGCTGAGAAATAAGCCCTGCTGAGGTCAGTTGAGCACATCCAAGGGAAAGGCTTATAGATTTGCATCCTGACTGGAAGCATGTATGCGGCTGAACTTCCTTGGAACTTCCTTCGGAGCTCTAAATTTAGCCGGCTGGAACCAGGAGATTTTTGAGCAGCCAGACCCTCCTCTAAGAGTGATTCCGAGAATGGGTGCAAGCAGGATGCTACCCAGTTGCTGCACAGCCATTAAAGCATCTCCCACTTTCCAATTTGTCTGGCATATGAATGCAGAACTACTATAATGATTGACATGCCCCTGGCATTTTTTTTTAACCTGAATGAAACTGAAATAAAAACTTACCTTGGGTTCACCCACTTGAACTCAATGGGGTTTACTTGTGTAAACAAGAGTAGGTAAAGCTCCTTTCAGCAGGGGCTTCTCCAACCAGGTGCCCTCCAGAGGTACTGAACTGCAAGTTCCATCACTCCAAGCCAACCAAGCTGTCTACTTGGACATGAGTTCTGCTTTCCAGCTGGCTCTACAAGAAGAATTCAGGGATGGGTTCCTAAAATAAGAAGGCTGCTAGAGACAGTTCATGTATTGTAGGGGTTAAAGGCATTGGACTAGAAGCCAGGAGGTTATGAGGTCTAGTCCTGTCTCAGGCATGAAAGCCAACTGGGTTGATGTTGGGCTGGTCACTCTCTCTCAGCCCTAGGAAGAAGGCAAGGGCAGACCACTTCCAAAAATGCTGAGGCCCCCTCCCAGCAAGGGGTCGGAGCAAGGGAGACCTGGTGAGCTGCCCCAAGGAAATCAGGAATGCAGCTCAAGCTCAGCTCCCCCTTTGCAGGTTTCATGGCTCTTCTTGGGCTTGGTTGCTTCCCAAGGAAACCTGCACTGGCTCTTGTGGTAAATGTTTCACTTCAGTCAAATATTACTCTTGGTTTGATGCCTATGGTAATGAAAAAAGAAGGTGAGTGGAAGAATGGAGCACTGGAACATTTGATCTTCTTCATCCTATTGTCTCTTCTTACCAGCACTGTCTGCTTGAGCATTGGTGGTGCTCTTCTCAAATGCTATTGTTTATTACATTTGTAGTCCACTTCCTCCCCCCTCCCAGGGGCGAAATTTAGAGTGGCTAACTATATAGTATAGTTATTAGTATAATAAGGAAATAAAGTTCAGTCTCAATTTCCCTCATTATTTTTACCTTGGGCTCCAAGTATGGAAGATTTTGCTGGTGATGGGACTAACAACAACAAAGGAATGTTTACCCCACTGCCTTTTGATGGAGTTAATTTTAATTTTATTTTAATTAAAATAGACAGCAAAGTCCAAATGCCTCTGACTGGTTGATTGATTGGGCCCTTGATTGGTTTGACTCTCTTCCCGGCCAGCCCACTTAATGCTAAATGGAGGCCCGAGGGGAGAACCCAAGAAATTGGAGGTGTTGGGTTACCTTTTTGATTGGTGACCTCTTCACTGTAATGAAGAGCAGGCCAGCCAGTCATGCCATGGCTAGGAAAAATGTTCCATTCACTGCAGAACTCAGCTTTTGCCCCCTGTCAAAACCCATTCCCTTCCAAACAGCATTGGGAGCGAGTTGGTGTGGGGTAGCAGTGGAGGTGTTGAACAAGGAGTGGGGAGACCCTGCTTTAAGGCCACCTCCAGGCACAAAGGGTCACTGGGTGACTTTGGGCCAGTCACTCACATTCAGCCTGGCCTACCTTGCAGGGTTGTTGTGGGGGAAAATGGAGGAAGGAGTGCTATGTATGCAGCCTTGATCTCCAGAAAGAAGGCAGGGGTGTCAATTTAACAGTATAGAATAAACAAGCCTGTTGGGTAGAGAGAGAGCCAGTTTAGTGAGGTGGTTAAGGCATTAGGCTGGAAACTAGGAGATAGGCACAAAGCCACCTGAGTGATCTTGGGTCAGTCACTCCTACTCAGCCCTAGGAAGCAGGCAATGGCAAACCACTTCTGAAATCTTGCCAAGAAAACTGCAGGGACTTGTCTGGGCAGGCACCAGGAGTCAACCCTGACTCAAAGGCACACACGCACACAGTTGGTTAGAGAGGATGTCAGAAGAGACCAATTGCTCACCAAGTATTTTGGGGGTATGAATGGGTGGCACCCCCCCCTTCAGATAGGAAGAGTGTTGTTAGAATCACAAATACAAGCATTCTGTGATTAGAAGTTGGGGAGCAAAGGAAGTAATGGCAAAGATTTGGTTCAAGACATCACTCTAAATCCAACCCTGAATGCGTTTTTTTGACTTAGCGAGGGACATAGTGCACTGAGTGGGTCCTTTGGACTCCCATCACCCCACTTGATACCGATACCATGTCCCTGCCTCCCCAACTCTCCCACCTTGAACAGCGGAC